CGGACATGCAATTGGAAGCTTGCAATTATTATTTTGAGAAGAAATTAAATAATTGCTGATTTTAAAAAAGGAGAATCGGAGACAAATACCATTTCTGCCTTCATAATGGGAACCCTAAATGCCTTTCTAAACAAACAACAGCTGGAAAATGCTGAACACAGATACAATCCTTGCCTTTAAAAAGTTCCCATCCTTGTAATGATGGATGGACAAGAAGACAGTATGGTATAGGGATTGATAGTTGATTGTTGATGAGCACAAATTATGATGGGGGCACAGAGAATGGGCCCCTAAGCTGGTCTAGAAATGTCTGGGAGCCTTGCTAATGGGAACCAATGGGAAGGAAGGCAAGGTGGATCAGCCTAGAAACCTTCTGGGGTACCCACCCAGGCCTGGTGGAGACCTCATTGCTAGGCCCTCCAGCAGCCTGTCCCAGCTGATAGCACACTGACCTTTATCAGTTTACTTGTTCATTTTCCTCCACAGACTTGGCAGTTTCTTTAAGGCAGAAACTGCCATCTGTCATTGTTCTCTACAGTGCCTGCCTGGTAGTAGCTGATGCTCAAGAATCATCTAATAAGTGAGTATGTGAAAGTTTCTAGGCTAATGAAAATATTCTGTCTCTTAGATAGGCTAATGTTTAAAGAAAATATTTTTATGTCTATACAGTGGTATATTTAAAAGTATGTACTAGTTTGTGGTTGAAGTGCCAATACCAAATTTTGGATGCAAGAACAGGGTCAGGAACCATAGGAGATGCAAAGATAAGCAAGACACAATCACTGCTCTCCATAAACTTACAGCTTAAGTAAGATGAGATGGTTGGATGGCATCACTGACTCAATGGACATGAGTGTGAGCAAGCTCCAGGAGTTGGTGATAGACAGGGATGCCTGGCGTGCTGCAGTTCATGGGGTCACAAAGAGTTAGACACAACTGAGCGACTGAACTGACTGAACCCTCCTCTATATGGAACCAGAATAGCTTGTCTTTCATCTGTTTATATTTTGGAATTCCACAAAATATTTCTTTTGAATAAAGGGCTCCATTTAAAAAAATTAGTAAGTTAATAAAAGACCAAGTTTTCTCAAAATATTTACATATTTTACCCCCCCCCCCCATTTAGGCTGGAAGGAAATTTAATGGAGAGAATAGAAAATTTACATTTTTAGATATTTTCATATTCCTCCTGGATTCCATCTTTGTTTTTCCTGACTTGCCTTTAACACTTTTCTAACAGGTACTATATAGCAACCCCCCAATGTAGATATTTACAGTAATAAAATTGTTCCCATATACTGTAATATCACTTAATATTTGCTAATATACAGGAAAAAGCTTCTATGCATACCCTTCCTAAAATTACTGCAAAATATCTTCAAGGTTCTGTATTTTTTTCTACTTTATATACCGTAGTGTGTATATGTTAATCCCAACCTCCTAATTTATCCCTCCCCCTCCAAGGTTCTATATTTAATGCCAGTTATTCTAAGATGTTCAATTCAAAACTGTTACCTAATTTCTCTATAGGATGTTGGATTTCAAAAAATCACATTTTCAAAACAGGATTGTATAAGATCATCTTAAGGACCCATATGCAACAAATCCTTCTATGAGGTTTGCAGGGAATAATGAGCCAAAAGACATTTAGGTACAGTATTCTTTATTATAAACAATCAGATAACAGTGTAAGTGTGCATTTGAAGGATAACTGAGGCATAGCTATAATAAAAAACAACTTAAATAGAAATAGTTTCTTTTTTGTTAGTTTGTTTTACATTAATTTGAACTTAACATACACCAAGATCATGTAATTTGTCATATAGTTCGGCCATTAAATCCTTAACAGGAGCAGACAAAATTTGGAATGCATGTTATATTTTGCTTCATTTGTTGACTATGTATATCAAATATTCAGGGCATAATCAAAGTTAAGCCAATGCTTGAAGTCTAACAAGCAATACCTAAAAAATATTTTTGTTGCTGTGACAGGGTATTCACTTCCTAAGAAAACAATGAAAAGGAGATTCTAAATGCTAGGTAGTTGTCCAACTTTTTCTGATTTAAACTGAGTGTAAAAAAAAAATAACATAAAGTAAATGTATTGAGAATTGACATCTTAATAGTTCCAAAGCACTGGTAGGTATTAAAATATCACCTAACTAAAAATTTTTACATCTCAAAGTTTTAACAGGAGAAAAAACAAAACCCAGACTTGAACAGCACTATAAATGCTCTAAGTCTTGTGAGCAGGCCAGATACTGTTCTCTGTTGCACGACCCTTGTCTATAGCAACCTTAAACATGTTTGGCAATTGCTGATGCAATTTATGGCTTAGCATGTCCACTTTGCTCACAGTCCTATAAAAGAATGTGAAGACATTGTTTGGACTGTCTGCCTCAAGGACTGAATGCTAAATAAGCACATTTAGAAGTCAGAAATCAAATTCTGCCTTACAACTTTTAACAATTCTTACCAGAAAAAAATTTAAAACACTGATCTAAAATGTGACTATGTTACAATGACTTAAGGGCTAACTTCCCATCACTTCTAAATTCTCTGAATTTCACAGTATCTTAATAAAGGCTTTTGGTGAGACAGACCTGGCCTGGTAGTGATGCATACGTACCACTGTAATCATTTATTTTTTGAAGATAGAATTCCAATTCACTGGAATATTCTGTCCTGGTTTCCCAAAGCTGCGTGGAAAGCCAGTGTATTTTTTCATGTCATTTATAAGCAACTAGTACCGATTGAATCTGTAAAGGTGTAAGGTTACCAGAGGAGGAGTCTGACCACTGATGGATAAAGCGATGTTTGATTCCTGGAGCCCAAACCACGTGTACCTCATGCTGTTTTGTGCAGTAGTACTCATTTGAGGAAGACTTCACCATACTAATGCCTTTTCCAAGGAAAGGAGACATAGGGAATTACTGGAAAATAGGGAGAAAAATCCAACTTTGAGACAAAGAAGAAAAGCCTCATTTATCCAAGGATGTCTTCATTCATGACTTGATTGCTCAGAAGAGATGGGAAATCAGTTTCAAAATAGAGATAATTAGGAAATCAATTATATTTTCTTCAAGCATAAAAAAGAGCACATGTTCTGTTTTAATAGTTCTTGAAACATGAAGACGATTCTACAGATTTCCGTGTAGACTCTCAGCTCCAGAGGGCTGGGACGATTCCTTGTGTACATTGACTCCACAGAACCTAACACTGTGCCGGGTACATACATAGCTGGTGAACCAATAAACTACAGAGTTCTCTAAACACTAAATGGACCACCTAGCTTTAATGTAAAGTGTGATATTTTCTATTGTATATATGAAAGCTTCTACTAGGTAACACTAGTCATTACAACAGGTGACAGCAGTAGCTCACACATACATTGTTTTCATATGATCATTCCTACCTTGATTACAATTTAATGAGAAACAGCTGCTATACACTAATGCTAGAAAGAGTTGAGACAGAATTTATAAATGAAGAAACCTCCTGGATCACTGAAGTACCGTCTGTTAACAAGCATAATTACCTTCTTAAATTATACATTTTAAAGAGGGTGTGAAATAATTTTCCAAGCAATGCATTGTTCAGTGGGTGGGAATTATATATATATATATAAAAGTACCTAGAAATTTGGTAAACGGCCCTCTCTTTATCATCCAAGAGTAAATAACAGGTTTTGGTATTGTGTATACATTTTTAAAAAATGTCCTGTTATTCAGGACCACTGTTCCTCAGAAATGATAGGGATTATGGAATTACTATCTTATTTGGGAAGTTATTTCCAGGTATGAGGCTTTAGTTTTATAAGAGGCTACCACCTATGACCAGCAGGTCACTTAATCGGTAGAGACACTAAGTTAAATAACTCAAATTTGATCGCAGCAATGTGTCTGGATTTTCTCAAAGGCTTCAGTGAACATTGTCTGCGTCATCTGTGAAGAGTTAGTATTTACCAACGTGTGAGGAACATGTGGCAAAACGTGCCCTCGCCTAGAGACTGTTAACGTGGGAATGTGAGAAGGAATAAGTAAACACAGGGTGTTTTTATCCGATGCTCTTATTTTACTGCTGCTTCCACACACACACAGGACTTAACCACAAGGACAGCGAGCATGCCGTGCAGACTCGGATCTGCAGAGCTGCCTGCCGTGAATCACCAGGAGAACAGGAACCTGATTTCCTACGTGGAAGGCAGGCATCTCTGTGGGTGATGCATGGACTAAGAAAGTGCTGGTCTTATTTTGCAGTTGGGAGATATAGCTCATTTCATGCTATTTTCATATTTATAATATCTTCCAATATTAGAGTCATTTATTTTTTTTGTACAGTGGTTAAGATAATGAGGCAACCTGGCTCTCAGCTTCACAGTTTCTTTCTCTTCCGATCACAGTTTTAATTTGTTTAAAAGGTACCATTCATATCAGCACAACAGTCTACCTACAGGTATTTCAACTTCAGAAATAAAGCTTATATGACTTGTCTTACATAACTGATTTTACAAGCTTGATTTTTTTTGGTCAGCACTTGAAGTTATTTAAATGTTATGGGTTTGATAGCTTTGTTTTGTCCAAAGTGTTATTTGCCCTAGTGCTGCTAGTACCTGATTTTTGCTATGTAAACAGTTTTAGTATTTTTCTGGACTGGCCACACAACATGCCTTATGTGACACGGCAGACGAAAGCTGCCTTTGTCCTGCCAGCACCCTTCAAACACTGTCCACAGACTTGCCTCTCATTTCTTCTCTCTCACAAAAGAAGCTGCTGCTTATTAGAGCGTAGGTGTGAAAAACCTGCTTTTCTCATCGCGTTGTAGTGGCACCAGGTTAACTAGAAAGCACAAAACAAGATGGTGATACAAAAATGATGAGTATATATTAAATGTATTTACATGTGTACTTAGAAACTTCAGTTAGTCACAAATCTGAAATGATATAAGCCACTGCCTGCAACAGCATCTACCCTATAGAAACGTGCATTGAGACAGGACTGTTAAGACACTGAAGAAATTGGGTTGTGTGGGGAGCCCATCTGAGTCAGAACTTTGTCCAGCCACTGCAGCGGTCCATGAAGGTGGATCTCAATCCAGCAGGGCGTGCTTGTGACATCCTGGCGATGGTACTCGGCTCCCCAGCCCTGAAAAGCAAAAACGGAGCCACGTGATTGTGCCAGACTTCCAGGCAGCCTCCAGGGGCACGAGACAGGCCAGCTGGACACAGCCCACCCACCAGGGCAGCTTCTGGGACCTGGGAACATGAACTCTGCATTCCTGCCAAGTACAAGACAACCTTCTCATCAGCCAGGCACCCTAAGATGAGTCCCCATCCGAGGTTTCCTCCTGGGCTTGCAACTAAATCCACGGACCTAGAGAGGGCCTGGGTTCCAGCCACGTCAGAGACACTGGGAATTCATGCTGTCTTCCCAGGGAAGGGAGCTTGAATGCATGTTCACCCCCTTAATGCTGACGTCCGTGTTTTGCACAAAACAGAACAATGGCTGGATCTAAAAGCTGTTAGGTGAGAGCTGAGGGTGCTCTGTGTTATTCAGGATTGATGAAGAAAGCTTGTTTCTCCTCTCCCATGCTGGCTCACTTCTGGCAATTTGCCATTGGTGAGACCATCCACAGGAGGGACCGCAAAAAATAAAGAAGTTTCATTAACATCCATGACCTCACATGGTTGCAATTTTTTATCGTGGGGAGAACTTATCATTTCTTTTACACTGATCACCTATAGTTATATTTGCTAGGAATCTTTTTTTTTTTTAAGTCCCTGCAATATTAGTAACAGTTTATTTTGTGAATTATGTAGTTTTATGAATTTAAAGGTTGCATATGTGACAAGTACATCTAGTTGACCTTAGGAAAATCAGATTCCCATACAAGTTTATAATACAGTGAAATAATTGTATCTGAGACATTGGCCATTTCATCCCAATTTTTAAAACAGGCCTAGAAAAAAGTACGTCAAATGGTTGTTTATTAACAGCAATTTATCGCCCTCTGCTGGTTCTAAAGCATCAGAATGTTTGAAAAGACTTTCAGGTATTTGTTAATTGCCTGTTAATTTTACAGTGTAAAAATGCTTTTAAAGCTTAACAGTAAACTTGAATAAAGGCTTCCCTGGTGGCTTAGATGGTAAAGAATCTGCCTGAAATGCAGGAGATCTGGGTTCGATCCCTAGGTCAGGAAGATCCCCTGGAGAAGGGAATGGTTACCCACTCCAGTATTCTTGCCTGGAGATTTCCATGGACAGAGGCACCTAGGGAGCTACACGCCAAGGGGTCACAAAGAGTCAGACATGACTGAAACGACTTAGCACGCATGCAAATTTGAATAAAACTGCTTTGTCACCATGAAAGAAATGGATTCAAGAAGTCATTTTCTAAACTGGAAACTATTCTTGATTCTCATTTTTAAAATAATTACTGAAATTATAAATAAGAGTGTAGAAAAATGGGACACATTTTTCATGGTAATTTTACAGAATTAATAAATTTTACTTTGAAAAAATCTGTAACAAGCCATACTGATACCCCTTCAATAGATAGGTCACCATGGGAAAACTGTCACGTATACTCAGTTTGACAAACAAGCTCAGATTTGGAAATATTAGAATTATTTGCAAGTGCTTTGTGAGGAATGAAATAGCAGACGATAAACTGAGGGCTTAGCTTCAAGTTTTTCCTTCCCACTAAGTAACTTCCTCCATTCTCCAACCTTCATGTCAACTTTAATAAGATCTAATTGAGAAATTCAACAAATATTCATAAACAGAACATCTACTACTGTCTCAGAATTAATCGTAAGCCCCATGTTTTTATCTCAACCTGTTTATACCTTTGTAAACAGCACTTAGTTCATACATACTCTCTTGTATTAGACTCAGTTCTGTTTTGTAGTTTATTTATAAATATGATTGCCTCTGTTTGCCTGTCTGCTTTGTAAGAGTAAGGAGAGTGTCTTAATCGATTTCAGGTAAATTCACCACTTACTGAGTGACCACAGTACTCAGCAATTTGAGGGAAGGAAAAAAAAAAATCTCTGTAGCATTAAGTCCTATGCAACCATCATAGTCACTTTATCTTCTTTATTTAAAGAAAAATCAGGTAACTGCCTTAACTTGGTTTTCCTCCAGAAGTAATATACTTAAGAATTTTCTTAAAATTGCTAAACAAGAGATGTCATACTCATGGAGGAGCTCTTCTGAAAAACAACTGAGAGTTTTCCTCCTAAAAATGCTGTCTGCTTGCCCTGGCTGTCCAACTGCCACATCAACCGAAGACTGTTTTAAAATACACATTTTTAAACTTACTTATTTTCTTATTTGGCTGTACTGGGTCTTAGTTGTGGCATGCAGGATATTTAGTTGACCCATGTGGGATCTAGTTCCCTGACCAGGGATCGAACCTGGGGCCCCTGCATTGAGAGTAGCAGGGAGTTTTAGCCACTGGACCGCTCCGGAAGTCCTGTGCTTTTGGTTTCTATCTCAGAATCAGGACGCGAGCACTCCTTACCTTGACAAAGCTCATCCTGATGGTGCACATCTTGGTCAGCTCATAGACGACTTCAAATCCATGGTGCACAGACTGGGCGAGCAGCTGAGCAAACAGCTGGTTGTTGAAGATCTTGAGGCTGCAGCCGCTGGGGATCTTGCAGACAGTGGCTGGGTGGAAGCCGTGCTGATAGTTGCAGTTCCGGCTCTGCACGAAGATGCTGCTGTCACTCACGCACTCGGCATAGACCTCACCCCCGACGTAGTACAGGTGCACGCCTGCGAGGCAGAAACAGTCTTCCGACACCAGCACCGAGTTCCACTTAGACTTACCACCCTTCCCATCTCATCCGCCTCTGTCACCTAAAGAGATGTGACTATTAACTGTGAGGTTAATTTTAATATCACCAATCACTGATTAGTACCACAAGTGCCCCAGAGGTTGACCTGCTTTAATTATCATCTGTATTTTTTCCATGAGTGCATTTAAAAGTATACTGCAACTCAGGTTTGCATAGCCAAGAACAAAGAAGGAGGCTGTCGTGTATTAATACTACTCCTGCCATGAAATTAAAAGATGCTTACTCCTTGGAAGGAAAGTTATCACCAACCTAGACAGCATATTAAAAAGCAGAGACATTACTTTGCCAACAAAGGTCCATCTAGTCAAGGCTATGGTTTTTCCAGTGGTCATGTATGGATGTGAGAGTTGGACTATAAAGAAAGCTGAGCACTGAAGAACTGATGCTTTTGAACTGTGGTGTTGAAGAAGACTCTTGAGAGTCCCTGGGACTGCAAGGAGATCCAACCAGTCCATCCTAAAGGGTATCAGTCCTGGGTGTTCATTGGAAGGACTGATCCTGAGGTTGAAACTCCAATACTTTGGCCACCTAATGCAAAGAACTGACTCATTGAAAAAGACCCTGATGCTGGGAAAGACTGAAGGCAGGAGAAAGGGATAACAGAGGATAAGATGGTTGGATGGCATCACTGACTCAATGGACGTGAGTTTGAGTAAACTCCGGGAGTTGGTGATGGACAGGGAGGCCTGGCGTGCTGCGGTTCATGGGGTCGCAAAGAGTCGGACAGGACTGAGTGATTGAACTGAACTGAACTGTCACTTTCATTCTCATGCTTGTTCATTCTAAAAGGAAGATCTCATACTATTAGAGGCAAAATAACAACATAATGCAGAAAACATCAAATAGACCTTCAGGGACATACAGAAATAAAGAACTGGACACAGTGAGCACCACGGTAATGTTACTTACATGCGTATACTAAGTCCACTGCAGAGAACAAGATAAATGGAGTTTACATTTTATTTTACCAACAATTATAAATCCATTTCTCTTAGTACCTCAAAGAGACCTATTCCATTTTAAAGCCTATCACCTACATTTACAGGTCATAGAAATAATGCCTATTTTTACCCACAGTGAAATTCATGCCACATTTTCAGATAAAATATACTCAATCAAAATGTAGTTTATGCTATTTTATCTCATGTTCTTAGAACTAAAAGGTGAAGAGGGTCTTGAGAATGTTGCTGCTCAAAGTACATTTTAGTTGATGCTTTTCCTCCAAATGTCTAGGTTTAAGACTCAACATAAATTTGTAACAAGGGACTGGAGTTAGATGAGATGAAGATGTTCTAGTCTAGGGAATATTAAATACCAGAAGAATTGTTCCCTAACCTTTTAGCAGAAACAAAATCTCTATCTCCAGGTGTCAACATGGTTGTAAATACAATCTCCATGCAGTGGCAAGGGGATTGTAGAAATGATCTTGAATCTAGTTATAGGGACAGATTTCGGTACTTTAAAAAAAGAAACAAAACAGTTTTAAATAATACAACTGAAAGACTTCCAGGACTTCTCAGACCTGCATTTAGGAAACATGACTGACATGGCCACTCAGTTTCTTTGTAAGTAGCAATGGAGGCAATTTTTGCACTATTATGTAACTACTTCCTGCCAGCTTTATGGTTTCGTTTTCCCATCTCCTTTCCCTTAATACAATTTTAGAAAAGAATGGCTTTCAGAGTCATGTATTCAAACCACAGACTCCAACACAGTCTGAAGAAACTGATTCAGGGCCACAATAATAAAGCTCTTGATACTCAGGTCAAGGTTCCCCTCTCACTGCCTCAGTCAGACCAGGCCCCCTCCTCTGCTCAGCCTTCCTCTCCCTTTTCTGCCTCATCTCCATGATTCTCTCCCCTGAACACCCTGGAGTCTGATCCCCATGGCCCTGGCCCTGAGGAGTGGACAGAAGGATGGTCCTAACTGGCTGGGACACAGTTACCTGGCTGGACCCACATGTGGGGGGCGTGTGGTATTAGATGCTCAGTCGTGTCTGACTCTTTGCGACCCCATGGACTGTATGTAGCCCATCAGGCTTCTCTGTCCATGGGATTCTCCAGGCAAGAATATTGGAGTGGGTTGCCATGCCCTCCTCCAAGGGAATCTTCCGGACCCAGGGACTAAACAAGGCTCTCCTGCATCGCAGGCAGATTCTTTACCCATCTGAGCCACCTGGGAAGCCCAGACTTACTTGGCTGGACCCACATACTGGGAGGTGAGACAGGGGCAAATCCAAGCAGACTTCCTCTAAAAACTCCCAGGGGAAGGCCTGCTTCTGGGGCGGCTGGAGAGCAGGTCATCAAACTGCCAGAGCATGAGGCTGCTAAGTGTTCAGTATGTCTTTGAGTTGAATGCCCTTCAAATACATAATCCTCCTGGAGCTTACTAAGGAGAACAGATAAGATTTTTTTTGCTATCTGGCTCTGGTCTTTATTTAGGGGATGATTTTCAATCCTGTTAAAAGTCTTATCCGCAACCACAGACATCCTGGCGGAGCACAGAAAGCAGAGAAGAGCCTGGATAGGGAGGTAGCAGTTCACCGTCCTGAGTGAGAAGAAGGGGCAGAGCGGATGGGATGTGCCTGGGGAAGCCCTGAGCCAGCCAGGGTCACCAGAACAAGGAAGGATATTCAACCCCATGATGAAGAAGGCTAGAGACAGCGGCATCTAAAGAGTCAAGTAAGCAAGGGATTTTATTGGCATCCATCTGACAGGCCAGAAGCCTGGCTTTAAACCACGTCTGCGAGATGCTAAATTGCCACAGAGAACAGTAAGCGGTAAGGATAAACACCCAAAGAAGGTGCCGCCTGAGACAAGAGAGAAGTCAGGCAACGTGGTCCTCTGGAAGTTCCACCCACACCTGGGACTACATCTATTCCTGGGCTGCGTCTGCCTCCGTCGGAGTTTTCCACCTGTTGTGCCTGCACCCACCCCTTAGGAGACTAGAGAGTCTGGAGTCCTGGTGGTGGTGAATACTAAGGGCTCTTTGGGCTGGGTTGGGATCTGCTGAGTCAGACTGCAGCTTGTTCCCTTCTGGTATCTTCTGAAGCCTTGACTGACAGAGATGATGGAGGGGAGGCTCAGGGAACAGCAGGTTAATTAGGCTGGTGAGCGTGTTCCAATGGTCCTGGAGTCTAGTAACAGAGGGGGATGTCACAAGTGGAAGGTATATGGATGGATTCCCTCCAGAGTGGGATGGGGGGTGGTGGGGAAGGGATATCCCACCCCTGTGGAAATCTCATCGCCCCACTGCCAGCTCAGAGACATACTTAAATATACCGGAGAAAGAATATGAGTGCTGAAATTTGCTTTAAACTACTCTTCCCTGGTGGCTGGGATGGTAAAGTGTCTGCCTGCAATGCAGGAGACCCAGATTCAATCCCTGGGTCAGAAAGATCCCCTGGAGAAGGAAAACGCAACCCACTGCAGTACTCTTGCCTGGAAAATTCCATGGACGGAGGAGCCTGGTAGGCTACAGTCCATGTGGTCACAGAGAGTCGGACACAACTGAGCGACTTCACTTTCACTTTTTCACTTTCACTCTCATAAAAATACTGTGGAAAGGACTTCCCTGGTGGTCCAGTGGTAAAGAATCTGCCTGCTAGTGCAGGGAACCAGGGTTTGATCCCTAGTCTGAGAAGATGGCACATGCCCCTGGGCAGCCAAGTCCCTGTGCCACAACGCCTGAGCCCACACGCTGCAGCTACTGAAGCTCTAGAGCCGGCGCCCTGCAATAAGGGAAGCCACGCAATGAGGGGCCCGCGCATGGCAACTGGAGAGAGGCCTCTGCTTGCTGCAATTAGAGAAAGCCCACGCACAGCAACAAAGACGCAGCGCAGTCTGACAGAAAAACAACAAAACTCTGTAAAGCAGTTCTTCTTCAATAAAAAAATAAAAAGAAAAAACAAAATAATAAATAAATAAATTATAAAAATAATATAAAATAAAGATTTCCAAATTTACAGCAGGGCTTTGGGCCAGAGGATGGAGGTGGGCCCGCCCAAGACTGACTGCAGCTGTGCACTGCACAAACCCAGGGCGTGCCTCAGACTCCCGAGATTTGTACGATTATTATATATACATATAAGACTCTTCCAGCAGGGGGCAGCAGCGGCTCCTCTCAATTCTCACAAAGCCGCCTCCGGGCTGGTACAAAGTCAGTCCCCTAAAGCTATTACTTGAAGACTTTAAGTATCTCTAAACAAACAGGATGAACAAGCAGATTTGGGCCCAAATGAACTACACTACCAGGGGCTTCCCTAGTAGCTCAGCTGGTAAAGAATCCACTTGCAATGCGGGAGACCCCAGTTTGATACCTGGGTGGGGAAGATTCCGTGGAGAAGGGATAGGCTACCCACACCAGTATTCCTGGGCTTCCATGGTGACTCAGATGGTAAAGAATCCACCTGCAATTCCGAAGACCCTGGGTTGGGAAGATCCCCAGAAGGAGGAAATGGCAACCCATTCCAGTGTCCTTGCCTGGAGAATCCCATGGACAGAGGAGGCTGGCGGGCTACATACAGTCCATGGGGTCACAGAGAGTCAGACACGTCTGAGTGACGAAGCAGGGCGCTGAACGCCCCACTGCGCGCACACACTGTGATTCGGGCAAGGTGGGTGCCTCTTAGCACTACCTTCTCTCTCTCTCTCCTCTCTCACTACTACGCTTGACTGCAGCAACCCCAGCTCGCCTGGACGTACCGAGTCCCACCCCATCCTCACAGGAGCAGGAAACCCCACTAGAAGGAATGTTGAAAATACTGAGATGCAAAGAATAAAGATCAGCCACAAATCCACAACCTAGAAATAATCAGGACTCACATTTGTCATATGCTTTCAGTCTTTCATGTGTACATTTTAAATAAAATTGGGATCATACTCTATAGGCTCTTTTATAACCTTTTTTCACGTATTA